GGTGGGAAGTCAAGAGGCTGTCACAAAGCCCTGGGATGCAGCTGCTGCTTCTCCAGAGTCAGCGGGGAAATGGGACCCTGGGCAAGCGGCTCGGGCGTCCTAGGAAATGAGCCAGGGGAAAGGGCCGCGTCCGTGGGGGGGCCACGTCCCGCTCCCCAGTGGTACCTGGCAATGGGAGGTGCTGGGGGGGCCGTGGGGAGGGGCGACTCCGTCGCTGCCTCGGGAGGTGCTGCGGCATCTCGGCCTCGCAGGGGAACCTTCCGGCTCTGCAGCAGGTCGGCCTGGGGGGTCAGAGCCACGCTCCGCCAGCCGGCATCGCTCTGCGGCCCCGCTTTGAGGCTGCGGGCCCCAAGTTTGAGCTCCAGCTTATTTACAAGCAGGATTCTATCGTAGGAAAAGAAAAAGAAAAAAAAAAAAAAAATCCCAAACAAAACAGAAAAAGAAAAAAAGAAAAAAAAAAAAAAAAAAAGCCCCAAACCAAATCACATCCCCTGGGGTAAAAGAGGATTATTTCGTCACATGGTAACGCAGCCAAATCCAAGCTGCCAAAACTACAACACGCACACAAAATACTGTGATCAAACAAACAAACAAACGAAAAAATCATAGGAAAACATGACCACAACTGAGGCTGCTCCTGCAGGAGGCCTGAATGCTGCAAGGAACCCCATTCCTTGGGGAAGCAACGAGCCCCTCCAGCAGCAGAGAACTGGGAGCCTGGTACAAGATTTCTCATTGACCCAGTCCAGGAAAAAAAAAAAAGCGGGGGGTGGGATGGGGGTGGGATATGAAGTGGCATTTTACCAACTGCCAGCCAAATGAACGTTGGGATGGACGGCTTCAAACACCAGCAGGCTCCTGGTGAATCAGGTAAGGATTCTGGCTTGCCAAGAGGCACAGCCCAGTACCCAGGGGATGATGACTGGTAGTGCTTCCCAACGTTGAGTCGGCAGCGGGGACAGGACCCAGACATCCCTCAATGCACGCTGGGGAAGGAGGGGGGCCGTCCTGCTGAGTTCTGCTAGAGGAACACGTACTGGGGAAAAGCCCTGAGCCTGCTTGAGTAGGGCCCCATTTCACACGCTGGCCGTTGGCCTCCTGCTCGCCTTGGGGACTGGAGTTGTTGCAGAAGAAAGGTCTGACCAAAGTTTGAGGCTAGAAAGGGCAACCAGTAAAGTGGGGTGGAGGGAAGGGGCTCGTCAGACATTAACATCACCGAAAATAGTGTTTTATGCAACAAAGAATCAAGCCTCACTGGTGCATACTACAAAATGTTTGACATTTTCCAAGAGCATGACAAAAGAAAAACACAAAGAAGTTTACATCGGATGCTCATCGCATTCACTAGGTTGGGTTGGTTTCATTTCCCCCCCACTCCTATATTAAAACAGTGCAAACAGGTAACACGCTTCAACCATCACCCTCTGCACCAAGGGCTGCAGCTCCCACACGCTTCCCCTGCGGAGCCGGACCCAGAGCCTGCGGTGGTTTCCCTTTGATAAGTTTCCAAGTGCTCCCCAACACTCCGCCCATCTCCTGCTTTGGGGCTGAGCTGGGATGCAGACAGGGAAGGGCTGGGGATGTATGTGGGTAGGAACCAACAGGGGGGGGGCTCTGCACTCCCCGCTTCAGGAGCTCTCTACACCAGCCAGCAGCCCACATCTCTTTCCAGGATGAGAAGGGCGGGCGATGAGATGGTGGCACCAACGGTACCGCAGCTAACACCTGAGCCTGCTACTCTGACAGCCCTCGTGTTGCACGCTTCCACAGATAAAATGGGTGAGAACAGGGGATAAACTATTACCTGTGCATTAGGGATGGGAAAGCAAGCCTAGGGCAGTGATGTGAAGGTCACTGACAGAGCGCTGACTGAACCACAGGTCTCCTCAACAAGCCCTCGCTGGGCCAGCCTGCTCTCCCTCAGGCTACTTTAAAACATGGCTTTGTCTCTCTGAACCCCTCACTGGATCCACCCAGACCTGGGTGAGCTCCCCACTAGCTCAGCTCCCAGCACAGCTTTTCCTAAAGCTTTTCCTAGCAGCTGGTAATAGGGGGAGGTTTACGCTGCACACCAGGCACCGATGAGACCTATTCCCAGTAGAGAGTGTGCTACGCCAGTAGAATTCAGCTGTATACCAGCACAACTACACCCTCAAGGAAAGACAGACCAGCATACTATAGAAAAAAAAGGAGCTCATCAACTCAAAACTGTATCGGTATAACATGGTGCACTGGCCAGATCTGCTATAAGACAAAAAAGACAGCAACACTCAGAGGAACTTCCCTTCCTCTGCACCAAGAGGAACCCTTGGGTGCCACCGGACAAGAGGTGACAGCAGCAAGCTCTGTGCCAGCCCGTGCTGCCCCTGTGAAAGCCAAGCCCTGGGGACTCGCCTGCAGAGCCGCCTCAGGGACAATGTTAGCTGCTGTCTGCCAGACAAGCCAGGACCCAGTTAAACTCATTAAGAGCAACTCGTTTTGCATAGGGAGATATAGGCTCTGTCCTCACTCCTCCAGAAGACAGGATAGCCAAGGCTTGGCTGCTCTGAACGCACCTCATTAGGATCCAAGCAAAACCACACCTGCTGTTTGCCAAAGGGGAGCTCAGCACTCCCGCTGCTCACTGCAACGTTTCAGACTTTGGGAGCCTGGTGGGGAGCGATGGAAGCAGGAGAACCAGGATGCTCTGGAGCAGGTTTTACTTGGAGATCATACAGCGGGGCACCACAACGAAGCCCCCTGGCCTCTCAACAGATGCGGGTAGGCTGAAGCTGCCGTGCATAGACTCTGCTGGGAGGCAGAAATGGGGCCGGCCTCCTGCGCCCGAGAGGAAGAGTTGGCAGTGGGTGAGAACCAACTGAGCTGAACTGCAGGGAAGGGGCAGAGGGGTGTGAGCCCCCCAGTGGGCACGGTTCCCCTCACACTGCTCCTACCACAGAGCCCCCTGCAGCTCCAACAAGAGCCCCCAGGAGCCCCGATTCCCTCTCATTTCCTAGTTTTTGTGAAAGCCCCAACACCCTGTGCCCCCCTCCCCGTTTTTTCAATCTAACTAAAATATTTATATACAAACAAACAAAAAAAAAATAGTCACAACAGCAACAAACCAAACTTTGGCTTGGAAAAAAAAAAAATTAAAAACCAACAATAAAACCAGGAAAAAAAACAAAACAAAACAAAACAAAACAGCAAAAGGTGGCCAACAGGCTGGCAGTTTGGTGTCCCCTTTTTCTAGCTATTCCTCCAGAGAATCAATAGCTTTAGGGTCTCTAGCTTAACTAATGGCCTCCCCATTCTTCCCCTCTGCTGCACCCAGAGAGGCTGCGTTTCATTCGGGGAGAGCAAAGAATGCATGGCTGTGCATGGCTGGGCCAGGACACCTTCCCAGGAGCCCAGCTTGTAGACATTGCTTAGTGTTAAATGCAGGAGGTTTCCTATTCTGCTATCAGCAGTGGGTGGAGAAGCAAGGGTATGGCAGGAGTAGGAGAGAGTCCACCAACAAACCCATGCTCCAAGAAGTCCTTCCAAGAAGCAAGAGTTGAGGCAGCTCAGTGAAACCACGCTTCTCTAACCCAGCTTAGGGATGGTGTAAAAGCACTTCCCTCTGAGCACCGGGGCTGCTGGGAACCTAGGATGGAGGTCAGCCAAGAACGCCAACCTTGTGGCCCAGCCAAATCGCTGCTGGGGAGAGAAGGGAGACAGTGCTGGGGGAGTCACAGAGCTGTACCCCGAGCGGGCTCTCCGCTTCCAAATCTTGTCTTATGTAGTGTCATTATGGACCCAGCAGCCCAGGTGTGCAACTTTCTATGGGAGGCTGGGCAGAACGGACCCAGGGCTCCAATGTGACTGAAAGGGCCTTGGATACATAGCTTGTGGTGGGAAGTTCCTATGAATTCAGAGCTCGTACAAACTGCTTCTGCCTCCTCCCAAACTCCTGACCGAAACAAAACCAGGATCACGTTTGAACATAAAGGACGCTCTTCCCCCAGACAAACCCACGTGCATATGCCCCTCACCTCAGCAGCTTATACACTGACTTGCTTTTCCTCATTCACGTTACTTGAATCAGATTGCTCGCTGCAGTGTCTAAGCAGCTCAGGACGAGCAGAAGGAGAGACCTCGCTGGCTGGATGTCAGCACTGATGCACGCTTCTTCAGCCACAGCTTTCTTCATCGTCACGGCTGCACTCAGCTGGAACCGCTTGCTGTCCGCAGCAGAGGTTCTGTGTGATGCTGCACTGCTTCAGCCGCTCCTCGAGGAAGAGAGGGAGCAAAGGGACAGCAAGGGAGAAGGGTCTCGAAAAGGAGGATGGAAAACTAAGAGAGTTACAGCCACCAGCAATGGACAACGATCAGCTAGAGTAAGTTGTGTGTGCGGGAGGGAAGGATCCTCCTCCTCAAAAACTCCTTTCAAAGTCTTGTCCCCTGTGCAGCGGTAACAGCCAAAGTCTTTGGGCAGGTGGAGGAAATCTTCTCTCGCCGAGTCTAAAATTCTGACACTGCTGCAACTGTCCCAAACCCGTGCGCGTCGTCGGGTGCTGATAAAAAAAAAAAGAGGAGGGAAGTCTCCGCATTTCCCCCTTCTCCATATGCAAAATCTCCCACCAGCAGTTAGGTCCCAGCCACAGCCAAAGAGCGCTTCCTTCTGCAGAGCAGAAACACGGCAGGTGCAGACTTCTCCCTCACGTCCTCCCGCCTCCTGGGCACTGAGCACCAGTCCCAGGGCAGTAACTCTGTCTGCGTGTTCCTGATTAATAGCAGTTTCTAACAGCTTTCCTTATCGCTAATCGCCTTTTCCGTGATTGGTAGGATAAGCTATGCACCAACATACACACACGGAAATGCATTATCTTTTTTTTTCTTTTTTTTTTTTTCTTTTTTTTTCTTTTTTTTTACCACAGTTAAAATTAAAAAAAACCAAAACAAAACAAAAACAAAAACAAAAAAAAACCAGAACAAAACAAAAAAAAAAAAAAGCAACAAAAAAAAAAAACCGGAAAAAAAAAAAAAAGCACAATATTTGGAACAAAAGAATTAAAGGCAGAAATTTAAAGGAAAAAAAAAAATACATATTCAAAGAACATAGTGAGGTATAAAAAAGTATTCTCTTTTGTTTTTGTTTTTCCTCCTCGTCTTGCTATAGAGTTCCTCTACTAGTAAATATTGCAATAGCCAGGCCTCATGAACTGGGGGGGCTGTCCCACTTGCAGGGGGCTCACGTCACTTCAGTAGGGGGCAAATCGGCTGTAGCCACCTCGGTATAAACTCGCCTGTAGAAATCAAATGAGAAAAGAAGAGGCCGTTAGGAGGGCAAACCATGCCTGGAGGCGCTCAGGGCTAGCGGACGCGTCCTGGCACTGACCTGCCACCATCTAAGAGACAAAAGATCACCTCGCCTGCTAAAGCAAGCAGTAGCTCAGGGGCCAGGCTCACAGGCAGCCAGCTGGAGGGGAAGTCTGGCAAGTCCCAGGCACACAGACCTCAGTACGAGAGGGACTCATGAGTCCTACTTTCTAAGCCAGTTGTCTAGGCTGATGTTTCAGATAGCAGAAGTGCACTTCTAGGATCCTCTTCATCTCAGCTTAATGTACAGGTCTGACAGAGGCACGATGACCTGCTATCCTAGAAGAACCTCTGTTTCCTCCATTGACTCTAAAAGGAATCCACATGATGAGCTGCGGCTCAGAGGAGCTACACTGCAGACATCTATATTTAGGTGCACTTTTTCTCCGCACGCATTTGCATTCCAGCCTTTGCAGCAACACAGATACTGCACTGGCTAGAAGCAGATGGGCAGGCATGTGTTCTCAGCAAGCTGTGCCACTCCCATGCGAGGCCAGCATACCTCATTCCTGCCCTTGCATAACCGCCGCTGGCAGGCAGGACACCGCATGCTTCTGCTAGCAGAAGAGGGAACCGAGTGCAGCTCTGCTGCAAGATGTCACAAGAAAAACTTATTCCCTTACTCTACCTCGCACTGATCTCTCAATATGCAATAGAGCCCTTAAAGCTAATGAAAAAGGTAAGGAAGAACGTCGTGCATCTTCAGCCACTGCCGATTCTTGCTCTGTCTACCTCCTTGATACAGATGTACCAATGCACCTACAACACTCTGGTTCCCGATGTTTCTGGCGATCCTCCCACCACCTCCTTCGTACAAGATGTACAACACTGAGTGATAATTGCTCTCCTAAACCTGGCTCCTTTCCTAGCGCACACATGCAGATATACGAATGCACAACTAGGAAGGAGCTGGCACTGCAGCTAGGGACCTCCTTCCTCAATGAAGAAATCTTTCTGGATGAAGTTCCAGTACCCGACACACAGTGAGCAGCTGTTCCCCGTGCCGGGGTCGAGAAACAGCACAAGAAAGAAAATTGCACTTACCACAGCGCCAACTCCGTAGCTAGCGGCAGGGGCAAGGGCATGGTAAGGATCTGCTGTGTACACCCTGCCATAACTGAAGAGAGGGAGAAAACATACAAAAAAAAAAGAGAAAGAGAGTCACTTTGGGGGGCAGAGAAACAGCTGTCTGACCACAGGCAATGGAAGAAGCAGCATGCCCTTCTACACACATGTATGCATACATGCACACACATGCACATGGGCTGCCCCTCTTGGAAGAGAGCCTACGGGCATGCCGCCATGCACGGTATGAGATGGGCGAGAGACGGGCCTGCGAGGAGGGACGTGGCAGCACCAGGAGCTCAACCTGTAGGAAAGAGGTCAGCACCTCGCACGTGGCAACTACTGCAGCCCTCGCCTCGAGTGATGTGGTGGGGGAGGAGGGTGAGCCCCCAGTGCCGGCGCTACTGGCACAGTACCAGCTGCTACATGGAAAGTACTGCGGGTTCTCCAGAACAGAAGGGAGCACGAACTTCAATGCTCTCACGTGTGCGAAGATTAAAACGCAGCCTCACTGCACAGGAGATGAAAAATCTTATGGTGAGCACTTTGATGATGATCATCCTTTCCATTCACACGGAGCTGCATGTTAAAGCACCCTATGCCATATGAGCTGAGAAATTCTTAAGTTCTGGATGGGGAGAGAAATGCACGCAGTGATGGAGCAACCTGCTCAGAGTCAGAGAGCAAGGAGCCTGCAACGCCAACCAGGGCTTTCAACCTTGAGCCATGACCACACCTCCTCCTTTGCACAAGGAGTCCCCAGGCTAAGGAAGGGGCCAGGATTTGTGCCGGCTCGCACACGCCAGAGGGCAATGCTGCCTGGGAGCAGAGACAAGTCGTGCACTCATCCTTCACGCTGGGCAGTGCATGCATGTGTGCGAGTGCAAGTAAGACAGAAATGGGGAAAGAAGTAGAGAAGAACTGTAATGGATCACAGCTCCTCAGATCTCTGAGCACAGCAAGCCAGCCCCGTGGTTGCCTGCCCCTTACATACCCATCGCTGTAAGCTGCTGCAGCGGCTGCAGCGGCCGTGGCTGCTGTTGCAGTAGCAGGCTGTGCATATCTGTAGGCTGCGTATCCACCCTGCAGGAGAGAAGAGAACTGACTTTACAGATACCTGTCCACCCACGTAGAGAAAAAAAAAAATGAAAAAGGAATCACACATCACAAGGAGAGGAAGTGTTTCAAACTGCATCAGCTCCCATGTCACGTATATTACGAGCATCGCACATTGGCACGTGCGTCTTCCTTTGCTCAGAAGGACTACGAACACTCTTCCATTGCCCCGTTTAGCAGAAGGAATAAATTAAAGCAAGCTTGAGCATGGTGATATCCCAGTAGGAAACTAAATTTGGCATGTGGAAACAGAAATCCAGAAGAGAGCTGAAATACTGCATGCAACATAATTTCTATGTCCCCTTCCTCCTACGCTGGGGAAATCAGAGGTGGGCACCTTCCATGAAGGATGTATTTTAGAAAGGACATAATTCAGACAAACTCCTGCTTTTTTCCCCCTCGTTTTGTCTTTTTTTTTTTTTTTTTAAAGCCTGGGAGACCCAAAGGATAGATTTTCTTTTGGTTCAGATGCATAAAAGCATCAATAGCCAGGAAAGCCAAAAAGCAACCAGGAAATGATGGTCAGGGAGATACATTTCTGGTGGCCTCAGGGGTACCAACAAGCAAACCAGCACAGATACCCCTCCCTTAAAGTAAGAAGGAAACGGGTTGGCAGAAATCATGTCTGAACAGTCTGTACTGCTGCTGCATTTCTATCTATGCTACACATCTGTACTAAAGATCTTTAAAATGGTTACACTCAGAATGGGCAGTTCCTGAAAATACAGCTCCAGCTGAGTAGGTAAAACAAGAATCCTGACCCAGAGGGAGACTTGGGAGTGTCCTGCTGGAATTCACACCAAAAGTTCTTGGGGCAGAGGAAGCCCAGGCCCAGACCTATGGCTCTACTCATCTTGCAACAATGAGGGATGGACCCCAGCCACCTTTTAGACCAGGGGACAAGGGCTGCACGTGGCAGTCAGGACAAAGCTCTGAAGCCAAGGTCAGATCTTTCTTGATTCTACATGTTTTTGTTAACTTGGGGGAGAGGGGGGAGGTGCAATGGTAAATGAACCATGGGTTTGATTTGCCAGAAACACAACGAGCCGTAAATAACACCGGAAAACTCCAGATTGCTTCGGGCTTTTTCCTTTTTCTTTCTAACTGACATTTCAGAGTTTGAAGGACCAGAAGGCAGACTTATGCTCTTCACCTCCAGCATTGGCTCAAAATATCACTACCACTTTTTCCCTGTAAATCTTACGGTTGCATGCAACTAGGAGCACAACACATGCTCTAGCATAGGAGTTGGTTTAGTGGAGTGCTGGTGATAGGTTGATGGTTCGACTTGATTTTAGAGGTCTTCTCCACCTGTAATGATTTTATATCATATACAGGGGTAGATAGTGAAAGGACAAGAGGGAATGGTTTTAAACTAAAAGAGGGGACATTTAAACTAGATGTCAGGGAGAAGGTTTTGTTTACTTGTTTTATTAACAGTGGTGAGGTGCTGGAACAGACTGCCCAGAGAGGTTGTGGATGCACCATCCCCGGAGGCACTCAAGGCCAGGTTAAATGGGACCATGGGCACCCTGGTCTAGTACTTGATCTAGCAGTTGACCACCCTGTCTGTGGCAGAGGGGTTGGAACTTAACGTCCCTTCCATCCTATGTCATTCTATGATTTCCATGATTTTATGATTTGTCTTTGCTCAGCAGCTCTCAGTTTTGGACCAGATAGCTTTTAAAATAGAGGCCATGACTTCAACTTCATTTTGGTTGCCCCTGCAGAAGGGCTATCCAAAACATGCCTAGGGGTGGTTTCCTACTCTGGAGGAGAGGGACTTGCTAGACCTTCAGTCTTCTAGTTAACAGAAGAGAGTAACATGAATCTTTCAGAGTGAATTCAATCACCAGGTTGCTCTTAACAAGTCGTTTCAATCTGTGCATTTCAGATTGATGGTCTGGGGAGATCTGGCTTATTTCTGGCGTGCTAGCATCACACCACTATTGCCCTCAGCTCTAGAAAGTGAGGGAGACAAGACAAACAAAAGGCAATCCGAATGAAACCTTGACTGACCTCACCAAATTAGGACCTGCTGGTGTTTCCCTAAGCTTCCAACCTCAGTGAACTCTTGGTGCAGTCTATCACTTGGGCATGGCACAGAAGCAGAATTTTCCTAGCACTGTCCCCTTCTCCCTCTCACCCATCAGCCACGTGTCACATCGGAAGCCATTTCGAATGTGACCGGCACACGCCCCACACATGAGAGCAAGATGCAGTTTGAAACCTAGCAAGGGTTATCAAGTAATTCTCTTATAACTCATATCTCTCGTAAAGGGAAATGAAACCAAACCAAACCAAAACAAGAAAGAAGAAAAGAAGGGTTGGAATCAGGTGTGGGAAGGGGGGGAGGGGATGGCGTAACATTTATTAATCAAAATTAAAAACTAAGCATGCTGACATCTGGAGCTAGAACAACCAGCAAAGTCACCACGTTCAGACTCATATTGGCTAGTTCTATCCATCCCAGCATTCTCTTGGGACAGCAGTTCGCCCTAGGCTCTACCACAAGCTCAGTGAAGTACACAGCCTCAAGTACTAGAGCGTGCAGCCACAACAACCTGCTATTACGGAAACAGTCAGTCACCACTGGAGTTAACATTCCAACCTCAACAACTCCCGCAGCCTCCCGCCCTCCCCCCCGAAATGGCTCCCACCCATGCCCTGTCCCACACCACAATGTTAATAATTATAACAAGCAATAACCCATCTGTTATATCAGAGAAGGGAACAGAGACTCCACTGAGAGATTTAGAGCGGGATGTTAACATTTCTTCAGTCAACTGCACAACAAACAAACAAAAAAAAAAAAAACAAAAACAAAAAAACACAGGAGAAATAATTCATTGGAGAAATGAAGTTAAGGAATAGCTGACGTGTATTGCTTTTTAACCATGCACTGATGCAAAATTGAAGCTACTGTTAATTTCAAAAAAATAAATAAAGTCACAGGATACAGGTACACACACACAGGCAGACCTGCCTGGCTCAAAGCAGTCTGCAAATTCTACTTGTGTGTACTCCAAATAAAACCAAAAATGGGGATTATAATGGCCATGGTACGGTCCTGTCGTAGGAGCAATGAGTGCGGACAGCCGAAGGATTTCTGACAAGGGGATGTATTTAGCATGACCAGCAGGTCCAAATACACCAAAACAGGCTGAAGGAAAGAGGAGAAAGTCGCAGCTATTACTTGTTTTGGTTTCATCAACACTTTTGTCAAGCTCCAGGAGCAGTACAGAGCGAAGGAGACGCTGTGCGGGTTGCCTGACCCAGCTGTGGCTCCCGTTCTCTGTAACCCAGGACCCACCTGTAATTCCCTCAATGCATCTGAAGCCCTACTCAGCTTGTCCAATGCACCAGTTTTCCTCCTGCCATTTCTGTTCACAGACAACTTTAACTAGTGTGCAAAGCTAGCCCGTAACCTCAGCTACAAGGTCCTACCACTCCTAGTGATTCTTGATGCCACTCACTTCAGGTAGTATAGTAAGTAAAAACTGTACCTATGTAGAGCATTCTCAACAAACATGAGCAATCATGTTCACCAATGACATAAATAGTAACTTCAAAAAGGCCCTTGCTAGTTGCACCACACTCCTCCAGACTGCAACAGAAGACACCGTTCAGTGCCATGATCCCTGAAACCCAGGACAGCCATGCAAATTTCCACTCCATCTATTTATGTGAAGTGGTTTACCCATGTAGGTGCAGTGTTTAAAATCGTTAGCCTTGTCTCAAAGGAAATGAGCGTGCCTGAGCTTCTTGTGAAAGATGCTAGGTCAGAGATGTATCTATGGGACAGTCCAAGGGCAGCCTCAGCTTATGAATCTTTACTGGGCAATGATTAACAATCAAAAAGACTGTCTAAACCAAGACCAGTTCTTTCTGCTATAATCTTTCGGATTGTCTGGAGAGCATGTGAGATAAATTCACACAATTTTCAATGCCGCTTATTTTAACTCAAGTTCTCTTTCTCTTGTTATACTGCCAGCGTTGCTGGGGGCTATGCTGGACCCCCTTTCTCATAAGAATGTGTAGAGAGCCCGAGTCTATAGATCCCAATTGGCAAACAACTGGATTTGTCCAGGTGTTCACAAAAGCCCATATTTCAAATGACTCTTATGTCATGCTTTTATTTAAGCCAAAAAAAAAAAACAAAACCTTTTTTTTATCCCTTCTTAGCATTAGATGGCAGCTTTTTCAATATTGTGTTATTTCAGGGAATGAGACAAACTTGGCAAAACAACATAGATAGGAAACTGCAATCCCAGCTAGAGCAGCGTTCCAATTACAGAACATATTAACGTAGATAAATGAGCATGTTAAAACTATATATTTCAGCTCAAAAGAAGTCCCATCTTCTCCTCTGCTCTTCGGGCACACATTAGGTGTTCAGTGCAATGGGAACATCATTGCAACGGGAATATGAGGAAATCCAAACCTACGGCTTACTATGCCAGCATATTCTATGGTTACAAGCTCCCCTTTTCTTCGTCCCTTGCTGCCTCAGGCACACAGAGTGTGGCTGGGCACTCTTTATGCCACTAAGAAACATCTAACTCACGTACCTGTTAGACACATTTGACCACCTGCCAGGTTTAGACTGAAAGCCCTGTTTAGGGATCTTTAATTTGCTGAAGCACGATCCTGTCTTCCACCCCAAAACTGCCCTAGAGCAGAAGTCAGAAGCAGAATGGGCTAGAACTGTTTCCAGCGTTTCTGTATTAGAAGGGTGGCATACATGCACCAGGAATGAGCATGAATGAATTAAAAGAGGTGACAGGACAACAGTGTCCATTGCAGCCAGCAGGTGCTTCTACATGGTAATGGGACAAGCATGACCTTGTTAACTCTTCCACTGAATTGACATAAATACATTTTTTGAATGAAATGCCACTCGGTGTGAAATCTGGACACATGCCACCCTGCTACAGCGGGGGCTTGGCTCACACGGGAGTCTGCACTGCCCTAAAAAAGCCTCTGTTCCCATCTCTAATGTGGTGCTGGAATGGTTAGTATAATTCAGTTTTTTCCACTGCAATCCACAATCTGATTGGTTGGCAGGTCACACTGGCACTCCTACCTGAGGTATTTTAGCGCTAATGATTGGTTCCTGTAAGACTATTCTATAACAGAACACAGGAAGAGCAGTTCAAAAAAACACAGCTGTGGAAAGAAACAATCATACAAACAGCCCACAGTGGGGCTCACCAGCCTTTTCTTTCCAGTGGATGCAAGCACGCTTTTCACAGGCAGGAGTGGTCTTTGCAACGTGGGGTGGTTTGTGTTTGTTTTGTTTTCCTCTTCCCCTCCACCCCAGATTAACCCCATTGAAAAATAACCTTCCTTAGGATCTGAAATGAAGCCCTCTGCATCCTGGGGCTGGTTGGTTTATGAATTCAGGTGTCTTGCCAGAGTGGGACGCATCCAACAAGAGATGGAGTGCCCTCATCAGAGAAGACATGGCTAGCAGGCTGGTTGCCCCAGGAGAGAAAGAAGGAGTGAGGAAGAGGAGGAGGAGGAAAATGAGAAGTTGGTATACAGCACTTATGTGGAAAGAACAGCCCAAGTTTGGGACACTTCCCCTTTGTCTCACCTACTGCTAACCCCTCCCTCCTACCTAGCTCAGGGTCTCTGCCACCTTGCCTTGACTCAGAAGGGAGCCTCAGTTCAGTTTTCCCTCTAATCCAACCAGAAAGGACTAAGCTTTATCAAAGGACCCTCTGCTTTCCCTTCTGTGATCTGCACAATCTTTTCATGGCAAGCAGAAAGACGTAAGCACTGCAGGGAATAGCACTGTCCAGCAACGAGGCACAGGTATGCTGCATCCCTTCTGCATGTGCCAATTAGCAAACTGCCTGGAACAGCAACTTTGTATTAGGACAGCTTTTTCTCCTGAGCTCTGTTATAGGGTGCTGGGCAGCAGTAATACAGGATAACAGACAATCATCTCCCTTGATGAGTGTCCCATTCTGCTGTCCTGCTTTCTCACAGTGAGGCCTAAGCAACTGAAAGCAAAATCACCAGAAATTCACCTCCCACTTTTATCCTGATCTGGAGACTACGTGATGCTACTGCACTGCAGCACCAAGCGATGACGGGTATTCTTCACTGCTGAAGTCACCGCCCCTAATATGTGCTTGATAAGAATCTCTCCCCCACCAGTAATGGAAGCTCTAAAGGAGGCTTCTGGAAAACAAATGGGGAGTAATCTTGACCAGTCTTCTCTTTCAACATGACAACCTCTTACACATACTTTGAGGGAAGAGGCACTAAGCAGAAGGTATTGCTCTTATGTTTGCCTGCTGTAGCAAAGCCAGTGGTCTGTAAAGCTGACATTTTAAGACTGAAGTGAGAAAACCCAGAACTCTTGTGTCAGTGACTACCATCTTACAAAGTAATGCCTGACTAGGCAGATCAATTTTTAGAGGGATGTGCACATACTGCTATACGTAAGCATGAAGAAGCACACCCAAAATCTCCGTGCTTAGAGAGCATGTCTTCTGACTGCTGTAACTGTGTTGGGCAAAGTGCCCCTATAGGACCTGACCCTCTGTATAAGCCAACAAAATCCAAAAGCTAATTCCATCCATTATCTTCAGTCTAGCCCCTGGGGTCCTCTTCACAAATGTCAGGAGTAGCATCTTCAAAGGAGCAGGGACATGAAATCCATGCTGACAGTCATGCCACTACCAATACAAAGCTTCCCCAGCTCTGAAGAACTATTACCTATAAATGCTGCACAAGAGAACTTTGCCAGAGCTAGACAAGGCCACAAGTAGTGATGGCAGCAGTAGGCCTAAACATTTTGGCTTTGAAAGGCATACTCCTATCAGAACTGTTCTACAACAGCTCTCCACTCGAGAGCAAATGGCTTTTCTTGCTGGCCAGAGTTCTCAGACCCACAATGGCCACAACCCAGCTGCTTATAGAGATACTTCAGAGATGTGTTATACCAGCTGGCTGGGTAGGATGAAGACAACTACAGGGCAATGTCTCCTGTGGTACCAGAGCTAACAGCCGAACAGGAGTAGGCTGCTGGCTTTTCTAACCAAACATCTCCACATATTTGTACTTTACAACTCCCCAAAGAGGTAAGAGAATCTAGCCTATTTAGGTACCACTTTGACTAGCAAACTGAGGTGTCAGTTTTCACTCTAGCATCTCAGCCTCCATTTTTAATCAGCCCCAGTGTCTTCCCCGAAGGGATAAGTTCCACATCCCAGTGGCACACAAACATTTTTAAACATCCAGTCAGCTCCGTTTAGTGTGGGCTGCACAAATCAAACCTGAAAGGGTCCCAAGAGTGGAGAGAAAGGGGAGGGTGGAGGGGGAGAAGGAAAGGGAAGGTCTGAGGCTAAACCAGTCCTGTTATTTTTATATCCAAATTATGTAAATGAGAGAAGTGTTGAGAGAAATTTTAATTCGCTAATCATCTCTCAGGTTGATTAGTAGCAGTGTGCATGTGAGGGAGAGGACACCCAGTAAACTGACCCTGGCAATGATCAGGAAACCCAAAGGCTTAGGTCTTGCACCCAGGGGCAAGCGCAGTGACAGAGAAGCATGCTTGCATTCCTAAATATATAAATATATATCCACAAGGAAGAAGAAAATTAAAGTAAATGATATTTTAAAAAAATCAAACAAACAAACCAAATCAAACAAACAAACCAAAAAAAAAAAAAAAACCAAAAAAAAAAAAAAAAAAAAAAGGCTGGCTTGTCAGGGGTTGGGGATGAGAAGGCTCCGGTGTGTGTACTTACATAGAGGTCAGCACCGTAAAATCCGTCCTGGTAAACCACACTGCAGAAAATCCACACAAAAACAAAAAAACAAAAAACAAAAAACAAAAGAACAGAAAACACATTCCGGTTATTGAGGACGGCAGCATGCACATGCGTTTTACACAGGCAGGTGATGTATGAATCCATAACCTGGGCTTTTGGCAGGAGCGAATCAGCGAGAGAATGTGTGCACACGCACGCTAGACGGCTCCAAGTCATCTTCCATGGCATGCAAAGGGGAAAGGGGCGGGCAGAGGGGGAGACAGTATGCAAAGGAGAGAGGGAGGGGAACAACCATCTTGTACAATAAAAATAGACCCAAAAAGATCTGATGTCCTGAAGAAGAGAAACAAGGGTTTAGAAACCTCCGCTCTGGTTATTCTCCTGGAATTGTTTAAGTTACCCCCCTACACACATGGAAACATTGGCTTCGTGATGTGGGCTTGGAAATGGAGAGGCCCCTCAGAAGGTATCCCACGGGGGCTGAAATCACCTATGTCAGAAGCATGTTTCAGAGAGCTGTGTACAATTACGTATTTCGAGCTTCACAGGGCTGCTTGGCTTTGTTTCTGACATCCATACATCACCTGCTTTTACCCTGCACATTAGACATGCGATAAGATTTGGCTGATCACACAAGCATGCAAAGTATTATTATTCAGCATCTTAAAGAACCAATGCAACACCTCAGGAAAACAAGTCAATCAATTCTGATCAAAGTAAACACAGAGAAATGTAATTAAAAAAGAAAAAACCAAAAATACCCACAATGCATTGCTTTCACAAGCAGAGATAATGAGCTAAAAAGGTTAGGTGACTGGTCCAAGGTCCGAGAATTGAAAGGTGCAGTGGGAGTCCCTGGTAGTAATGACATGTTCCATAGCAGAGAGGAGCATCTGGAAGGGTTTCCATGGGATGATACTTTTTCTGTTTTAAGCCATCGATTTCTTTCTCTCAGAACTTCAAGCAGGTAAAATCGTTAAACTGGAGCCTGGGGTTCCCAAAGAACCACTCTTGCCAGAGCATTCGCTAGCGTAGGACTACGCAGCTTGCTTCAGGGACAGGGGTTGGGGAAGGATAAGGAAGGAAGAGAGGGTATGCCCCCCACCCGTGTGCGTTCAGCCTGTCCTTCGTGGAATCTCCTCTTGCTTTGGCCTCCGAATAGCTCTGCACCGCCTCGCTCAAAGCTTTAAAAAGCATTAGAGCCCCAGCATGTGATATTCATGGACCTAATGCGCATGACTTACCCATAGCATTAAGGAAGAACCAGGCATGGAACGCCAGCTTTTCTATTATTACTTTTTTTTTTTACTGTGAAATTCTGCCAAGAGCCTGCCACCCTCAGACACCCACCTACTGTAAGGCACGCACACACAAAAAAGCCCAGCACATCTTGCCAAAATTCTGCATGCTATTACTAAAAATAAAAATAAATAAATTAAAAATCTGTCGCAGTGTTAGCTACTGCTTGAATAATTTAGTCTTGCTGTCTTCCCCAGGAAAAGTACACTGCATTCCCAGCGGACAGAATTACTACGGTCTCCAAGAGGGCTGGGAGCAGATACAAAGATAGAGACCCTTGTTAGAGGAAGAGGGGAGCCACTTCAGCAGAGAGAAGCAGGCCGTAAGATCACGTTTGTTGAAGCCAATTTTTCTTTTCTTTGCAATCACATAACAAAGAATTGGGCTCCTGGGGCAGCGACTTACATTGCTGGGTTCTCTATCTAGGATCAGGAGTGTTTTAGCAGTGATACTCCACCTGCTCCTGCAGGAAAGGCAAACGCATGACAGAGGAAGTGACTGTTGGTTTATGAACACATTAGCAGTTTCAACAGTTATTCCAAACACAATCAGTTGGATTAATTAAGAGCATTACCACATTGGATCAGGGCACTGTTCATGTAACTCAGTATCCTGTCAGCAAGAGATGCTAGCACCAGCTCTCCAGAGAAAACTGCAAAAAACGCTATAACAAGTAAGAGCAAGGCTTCCCAAGCCCAAGCAACAGAGCACGCGTGCATCCTGTCTTAAGTGAGGACCTGACACCAACTGAAAGGCTGAAATTTAGCAGGGTTTATATACATACTAAAATAGCCATATTTGTGATTCTCAATGCTAGCGAAAACTCCACTTGAGAACCACAGAGGCCATTCTGGTTATGCAGACTGACCAGGAGCATAAAACAGCCCCATCGTGTCTCAGTGGCATCCGTGAAAAGCCCGCTAGCTGAGCTAAAACACATCCACGAGAGCAAGACATACGCAAACTGAGTTGTACCAACAGGTGACTATGTTGTAAAAGGAACCCAAACCAACCAAAACAAAACAAAGAAATCCCACGAAGATCCCCACTGCCTTATGTCTAGTCTGACTTTTATCTACTTTTGGTTCTGAGTGGGAGAATCTTCTATACATTTATGCTTCTAAACTAAATTATACTTCACCATGACAAGCCCACTCTTTGTATCTGTACTCAACGACCATGAACAAGCCAATGCCTAAACCTGCAGTTTGTGAAATAAAATTGATCACACTTGTTTCATTTTGAGAATTTTAGAGTAGCCAAGGGGGTTTCTTCAGGCTTTGATTTAATTCTTGCAGTTCTTGGTCTGAAGTGCAATTTGTCAGCTTTCATTTAGAAAGCATGGCCACTACAAGTGGGGGCAATACTCCAGCACTGGCTCAAGTCACGCTACAGACCAGAGGTTACTGTGTCTCCACACTTCTAGTGAATGCCTCAGTTATACCTTGAGGGGTGCACTGGTGCTCTGAGGTCAGGCTCAGGTGACTATCCACCAGCTTCTTCACTGCTCTGAGCCACTGCTTTCTATCACACGAATAACCCTTCCTAAATAAACGTTCAGGGCTGCACGTATGTTTAAGTGCCTTTTACATATGCATTAGTAGATCTGAGCTTCGGATCTAGCTTGAGATCTTGAAATTCATTCATTTAAGAACTATCTGATTTCTTGCACCTTCCTCTGGAGAATCTAGCACTACAGACACAGTCAAAAATTACAGTAACCTGAACAGTGCTCAGGTCTGATCCAGTATAGCAATTCCAACAAGCTTGTATTATTCTACAATTTATTTATTTTTTTTTTTTATAATGCTGCTGAGCTCACACATTCAGTGATACCATTAGGTTTTACAGCAACTTAAACACCACTAGGTTTTGTGAAAAGTCAGTTCCCTCTACCATATTTGAATAAACCCACAGCTCACTTTACTGCCTTCTTCCACAAGACTCACTATGTTTCCATCATTCTTGCGCTGCTGATTGACCTTCTGGCATCTGCCCTGACTCTGTGGGGGTTAGCAGTGCCCACACCTGTGGCTGTCCTATAGGTTAATGCAACATGGATCTGAACAGCACAGTATACATTATTCCATAAGGAATCAAATTCCCTCTACAAAATATTATGTAGAGGTTCAGCCTATAACAACAATAAACACCAGAATCAGTTAATTACATCCCAGTGCTTGGGAGGAGGGGAAGTTCTGGGCCACTTCTGAAGGCAACTCATGTACTGCTATCCTGCAAATGTTTACTGGATAGAACGCTGCCCATGAAGACACGAAATTGGCCAGCAGGGTCAAACAAACCCAACATAATGTAAATAAATGCAGTCACAAGACAGTATTTGGAAAGAATAAGCACTGGAGCCTGGCCCATATTCCAAATTGAATACATGCTTTACAGGGGACTCAAGCTGGATTTATATGGAAGACAGAGCTTGAGTCTCTCCTGGTGACAGCCTCTTGCCAGGAACGCTCCAGCCGTTACTCCCAGGGATGAAGCATACAACCTCCCCAGTGCAGGTACTTTGCACTCTCCTAGATGGTACCTCAACTTTCCTTCTCTGTTTTGCTGTGAAGCACCTCCAAATTTAGCAGGGCTGGGTCATTTTCAGAGCAACAGACTGACAAGCTGCAGGTCAGAGGCTTAAGTTAGAGGATGTCACATATGAATTAAAGGAGGTGGCAAAAAGATGGATCTAAGAGCTCAAAAGACCACTCCATTCAAATGCCTAAATGTTCTGAGGAGGTTTCAATTAAAGTGTTTGGGTAAATTAAATACAAACATTGCTAGATTTGTCTGAGAGCAAAGCTTAGACCACTGCACCTTGCTTCCTTCAGCTCCACTTTAAATATCAGACAGGACAACAGTAACGAAGGGCCACAGAAGCTCTCTCCACTTCATCTGCTACAGATCATAATACAAGCTTATCTGTATCAGGCCAGCTCCTTTTGTTAATGTGTGTAGCTTCCTCCTCCCTTCTAATAAAAAGATTTATAGCTTAATTTCTTCCCTTTTGAAGCTAGTCTGAGAGGGGGGGAAAAAAAAAGATCAGCCCATTCTCTGTGTTGAAGGATTTGCTCCTATTCCTTTCTGAGAGACCTATCTGAAAATATGGCCAATAAAATTCTACAGAGACAATATGAACAAAGCATCCTCAAAATCAGAACCAATAAAAGGACTCGGAACTCGGAAGGGATTTGTGATCTCTGTCTTTCCATCACACTTAACCAACCAACCAAAAAAAAACAAAACAAAACACACACATACCAAACCGGTTCTTTCTGCTTCTGAACAGCAGAATATTGTTTTGTAACAGAATCTCTTCCACTGCATTGCTAGTGTAAAGTCAGAGGACAGAGAAGCGTGCTGAGGCTGTGAATTCAGCAATGCTTCATACAACAGTTAGAAGAACGCAGCACTTTCGTTCTCACTGTATCCCAAACTCTCCCAACTTCCAATTAATGGACTTGATTAATCTTTGTTTTAAACCTTTTTAAACCGTCTCCAACAAAGAAAGCAAATCCATTGTGGGTAGCTGGCTCTTCTTTGTCCTACTGCCAGATGGTGAGGCATGAAGGTAACAGATAATATTCCTCATTCCTGGGCAAGAAAACCACAAAAGGAGTGCAGAGAGTTGGAACTTTTGGGGACATCTTAGACCCGTCTTTTTGTCCTTCTCAGTAGTGGTGCAATGTATTGAATTGATGGATGACAAATACCAGAAGATAAATCGAGAAATTCTGAGAAGGAGTACATCAGCACTTTAGGCTGCTGCAAGTACTGAAAATTCTCTCAGGCAAGAACTTAACATGGCAAAATTTAGGACTGCCCCCATTGGATGCCATCGAATGCAGAACACTCTGGCGCGAAGCAAATACCCTGACTCTCACCATCCAGACAATTTTAGTTATGTTTTTGTTAGCCAACCCATTATTTGACACAGTTGTGCAGAGCACTCTGCTCTTGTGACCAGTGCTTACCCTGGGTAGGCAGGGATGGCTGTAGGAGGTACTGCCCGGACTGCCCCATAAACCGTCCTTCCTCGGCCCCTCAGGTGGGCTCCCCGAAACGCGGCTGCTGTGGTGGCTGCAGTTGGATAGGGGAAGCCTGGAACTGTAAAGACAGACAAGGGAGAAGGTGAAAAGGATCCCAGCTCCTGCCCAGGGAACAACCGCCTGCTTCAAACAAAGTGACACAAGAGCTCCGCAGCGGTGGGATGTTTTGCATCAATCCTGCGGAGGGGCATGCTTCTAACCCAGCAAGCATCGTATACATACGTCCTGCTACACCATGGCCTTTCGGGGAGGAGGGGTTGCAGAGAGGTTTGGCATGCAAGAGGTTAATGCATTGGCATGCCTCACCCACCACAAACAGGGTCCAAATCCCCCCCTCTGACACCGCCATGCAGTCTGGTTAGAGTCCGAGAAGCGCAGAGAGTTACTATCAATATAGCAGGCGGCTCTTCCAAAACTGCAGAGGCTCTTTAAAATAATTTGTCAAGAGGCCCTTAAAGTCAATCAACTTACATCAGTCTCTTCCCTCCTTTCCCCTCCCACTCTTTGCCACCCAATCCTCTGTATGTTCATTTTAAAGCCTGAAAGACAAGATAGCCCATATAACAGCAGCAGAAACTTCCCATAAAGTGCCAGCTTACTGAGAGCCCCTCTTCACTTAATTTCATTACACTCGATGCTGGCTCACCATGGAATGACGTGAAGCCCTAGAGGCATCTGCAGACACGTCATGAGTACATACCCAGAGGGACAAGTGGAGAAGCATGAACCCAACCCGGCGTGCGCCCAGGTGCACACCAAGGGGCCCTGACAGCTTGTATAATATGTACTTTAGGAATTGTCCGTTTGGTTTCTTTGTTTCCAAAGGGGTGGAGGGAAAGGGAATGGCCTATTCCTTGCACACACCCTCCCCTTGGTCTGCAGCCTCCTCGTCACATAGATGAACCCATTCACAGTACAGAAACACTGAGGATGAACGGGTTACAGCCACTGCGCAGCATACTTGGGCTATAGGTGAACTCATTCCCGACAAGACCCATCCTTTCAAGTATATATTATACAGACCGGAGAAAAGAAGGGAAACAGGTCATAGTTAACTCAAGCACAGTAACAAGAGAGGGGCCAATGGGGGCTACTTACTGATTAAAGGAATGTAAGTGTTAATACCCCCCCTTCCTGACAGGGGCACTGCGGCGTCATTGCCCAGCGAGACATCTGCTTGAAAGCTGGACGCTAATTTAATTTTAAAAAGAATAAAAAAAAAAAAAAAAAAAAAACAAACGTAAAAAGGTTATAAAGAAACAGCAAATTGAGAACATAAACAAACACCACTGCAGTTAAATGGCAGAAGTGGAAGTGTCTGCTGAAGCTCTACCTGCATATAACTCAGGGCCGTACACCGCTCCAACCACAGGACTCAACTTCCAACCTGAAACAACAAAGACTGCAGTGAATGCCAGAATCTACACCAAGAGAAGGAGCAGGCAGCGTGGGTACGGGGAACGGTCTCGTGCATGCGTCCCAGCTTCACATGCAGCAGCAGCTCTTTCCAATTTCTGCTTCACCACAATCCCCCTTGGTGTAGATGGAGGCCAACTGCTTTTTTTCTAACATCGAGGTCTAGGTGTAGGTTGCTGTACTGAAGGGAACAGCCAAACGCCAGCTGACCTGCAGGAGGGCACTGAGGGAATGCCAACTGCCTCAGACACACACTCGCCGCAAGCACCGCGCAGCTCCACATTCCCTGTGCAAACCGTGCTGTCAGCTCCTCCACGCATTCATGTCGAATGCTGTGGATCCAAAACCTCTCTGAAACCACAGGGAAGTCAATTTACACCTTTAAATTCTCAAATCACCGCTCTGTCATATTTGCTAGAGATCTACAAAGCAACAGTGATTGAGATTTCCTCACTAACCGGATTGCCTGACTGCATCGCAAAAAAAGCAATTCACTCTCCTCATCTCACATTTGCTCCTCTCCGTGTTATTTTAGAGTTTCCTATCACCTTTACGTTCCTTTTCAGATGAAAGCCCTCCCAGAGAATTGGTTTTAATATCATCTGGATAATCAGCAAGAACTGAAGTCGTCAACACAAAACACACAGTAGAATAATGCTTAAAGGAGCCACCACTGGCCTGCCACTGTAGAAGGGGAGTGAAGAAGAGCACGTTCCCCAGTCAGATCTAGAAACCCATCTGCCATGCCCATCACCTCTCTCTCTGGGCACAGAAGATGGGTGTAAAGCTAACAGCATGATCTGGGCTGGTGTGGAAAGAGGAGGAAAGACTCAGCTCAGCTAGCAATCACGCAAGCATTTCTATTGGAATAGATTCCTATCTTTCCTCTGTCTTGCTTTAGGAGTCCTGATACACACACTACACTTTCTACACTCCTATCCAGCCTAGAAACCACACGAACAATTGTGTGAGGTGCAGCCCATCAACACCATTCCCTCATCTGAACCAATGAGATGCAATGCACGCTCCCTCTGTGAGTCTGGGCACACTGTCCTGCACTGCACACCTTACTAGCAAACAGTAATGTGAGTGATGGCAATAACAGGACTAGGATCAGTCCCACGATACAGAAATGATTGTACCACCACTTGTTAGCATGTCTTACACCTGGCCTAATAACGAGTCCTTTGCACACCTTTAAAGCAAACACTGCTGACTGTTAAAGCACAATATTCCTACCTGTTACCACATTTCACAAGTCATTTTTATGTAAGACAGGTTTTGATACCAAACAGCCATGCACAATTTCTACCCTTCCTCTCATGCAAATGTAACATGGCTGTACTGCCGTTCACTATAAGATTTCCTAATTCCTTTCAAATACTAAAAGCCAGAATCTCAGTCTTTCTGCCTGTCCCTGTTTCCCCAGTTCAGTAACCAAAAAAAAAACTACGTGATTTGTCAAGAGCCACACAACAACTCAGCAGCAGAGCCACAAATAAAATCCTTATTTTCTCGTCTCTGAATCTTAGGTTGTAATTAGAATGGATTCTTGCACTAGCAATTACCTATGCATAGCTTCCCGCTTTTCGAGACAAGAAGAATTTTTCCTGCCTGGTTCAGGACTAAGATTCAGTTTCAAAATGTTTATCAAAGCAGCATTCAGTTCAGTCAGGAGAAGAATGACTTTTTAATGCTATATATGCGCCCACGCAGTAAAATCACTGCACAGACAGGAGAACCTAGACAGCCCAGTAAAACAGGACTCTTCATTGCCCAAACAACTTGGTCATTCTCTATTCAGGTTTGTTGGAAAACGACTGAATGCCAGACACAGCCTGTAACAAGGGAACATACAAACAGCCCAGTGCCTCTATTTTCCCAGCTGCTTGGGGACACTTGCACTTTTGCTGCTACAACTTGAGCTGAGATATATCCAGCTATGTATCCTAAGTGATACTCCATTTGTATTCAGGTATTTAAGCGACGGTCAGCCCACTGCAGGCACAGCATCAGCTTGCAGCAGTGGCAGGTGAAACATCAGACTTTGGGTTCGCTTCCTAGCTTGGCAATACTGGGCATATCACCACTCCTCTCTGCCCCAACTTCTCCACCTGAAAAATGGTATTCCTTCATAAACTTGTACAGTTACACTGAAGTATCAAGCTGTAGATCAGAGCTCGGGAGTCATTTCCCTTTTTGGGGAGAGGGTCTGGGTTGTTTTTTTTTTCAGCTGGGGAGGTCCTGATGAGAGCCCATGACCTTCCCTCACCAGGAAACTTTAGTCTTTCTTCTAATCTTTCAGCTCATCACTAGTACAAACAGTCCCTCTTACCATTTGCATATGGCGTGACCATCTTCTTATTGGTCATCACTCGTGCTGTGGCGTTGTTAACCTACAAGCAAAAAGGGGACGGGGAGGAGAGGGAAGGAAGCAGAGGGCATTAGGGAAAATGATGGAAAACTCTGATATCACACACACACACACACACACACGCACGCACACACACACACGCACACATACACACTATACTTTTCTGAGCAAAAAAAATAACTAATTTTACAAGAATGCAGTTTTAAAATTACTTTTAACAATTGCCATTTAATTTTAAATGTTACAGCTAAACATGGCACTTTAAATTATGCATTAAACAGAAGGCCAACAAGAGTAAAGTGCAGATTCTCAGACACCCTGGCACCCCCTGGTGCATGGTTACCATCAGCTCGTCCTTCTGAAGGGCAAAATATTTGGTGCTCACAGCTGCAGCCCAGGACAGGGAAGTGAGGCAGGTGATGCACAAGCTGATTTGTTCCTCAAGCTCACCATTGGATTGGGGCCCACAGATCACAGCCAGGTTTGAGGTAGAAAAACGTTAACCTGCAGCCCATCAGCTTAAGATATGAACTACCATGGTTTGAGATTTTGGACAAGTCACAAAGTGTCTGGACAGACTGCGTTCACTGACTTGCTCCCCATCACATTGAAGACTTTTTCCAAATTATTTTTTTCCCAAATAAAGAGAAGGAACAGATAGCAGTAGAGATGGGTCTTTCACTGTTGTTGTTTATTGTGCCCTCCACCCTCTTTACAGAGCTCTGCATCGTTCCAAGCGGTTTGATTGCTCAAGCAAGTGGGGTGTTACCACAGAGATGGTGCTGACAAAGAAAAGATGGACCAGTTTGGAAGCCAAGTTACTGCAGCCCTGCGTCAGACAGCCTCAGAGTTCTTGCAAAGAGGGCGAAAGTCTTTATCCAACATCAATAATTTATCCAAAACATCTACCAAATGGGAATCCAGGTTAAGAAAAAAATACTATAAGAATAAAAGCTGCTCTGGGCCCTTGAGACTTAAAGAAAGGTGAGCGTATGCAAGGTGGGGAATCTGGAACTACATTTACTCTCGTTTTAGCCCCAAAACAATTGAAACATTTCACATTTAAAAAGAAAGAATGGGAAACAACAATGATGAGACTGAGAGCATGCAGTTAAACACACACAGATAAAAGAAAGAAAAAAAACACAATTGATTCAGAGGGTGGGGAGGGAGGAGGGAGGAGATAGGGTCTCACAGACAATCATTAAGATGGAGCGAGTGCCTGAAATCAGCTGCTACAGCAAAGTGCAACACAAGCACTTAAAGGAAAAATTGCCAGAACTGATCAGAAACCACCAGTCAGCAAAGAGACCAACAGCTGCATTTAACTGAGTAAAGAAATAAACTGGGAGAGTGGAAAAAAAAAAAAAGAAAAAAGAAAAAAGAAAAAAGAAAAAAAAAAAAAAAAGGTAGAGGAAAGGAACAGTAACAGCTACAAACAGGTCTCAGAGCGGCAGAAAGAAGGGGCAGGAGAGAGAGAAGAGGAAATGAGTGCATTAATAAAAACCAGCCAAACTGGAGTTCAGTAACTCTGAGTAAGATGTGCAGGGGGAAAATCACCATGAAGTCAGTAATCAAACAGCTCAGACTGCTACAAAACGATATGTACATCCAAAGTCCAGGCGGCATTACTCAAAAGCATTGAAAATAAAAGGGGGAGAGGGGGGAAGGAGGTGGGTGGGGACAACAAGTCAAATCACATTTCGTTGTGTTAATGTGAGATGGCAGATGGATTTTTTCTTTCTTAATTTCGTTTTTTTTTTGTAATTTTAAGAAAAATTAAAAAAAAAAGCTTCTTCTCTAGCGCTTTCGTTTCACTTACCGCCAACTCGTACCATCGCCAGCATTGTGTATAGTTACCATGGAAAGAGTGAGTCAAGTGAAGGGCCCTAAACGCTAGACCATCGAAAAGGGAAATAAAAAAAAAAAACAACAAAAAAACAAAACAAAACAAAAACAAAAAAAGCAAAATATGCAGACATCTTACTCAAAACGGCGGCTTTTGTTTTTTGCTTTCATATTCGTTCAAATATTTGTACTTTTTGTTTGCTTGTTTTCAAGAAGGAGGGAGAGAAGGAAGAGCCAGTTAGCCTTCACCATGGTGGATCACCAAATTGGCCAGCTCTGGGCCTACCCCACATCGACGGCCCCGCCGGCCGCCCAAAATCACCCCATCGCACCCGTCTAGGGCTCACATGAGAGCCAGGAGCGTTGCAGCCTCGCTGCCCCCCACCTCCCTGCCCATCATCTCACGCTTGTGTGGAGGAGAACTGGCCTCGAGGAAAGAGAGGAGACTGGCTGGCCCCCTGCTCTCTGTGCAGGCACAGAGTTACAAGTCGGACAGTACTCTTTCAGTTAGTGTCGTTCAGGCCTGATAACAGGAGACCGGAGCCTCGCAAACTGAAGCAAAGGAAAAAATCAAGACAGCAGAAGGGCAAAAATTTGGAGTGGGTGGGGAAAAAAAAAGGAAAAAAAAAAAAAACTCAATAAAAAAGGAAACGGAAAAGAAGAATACCCAAAACAACGATAAAAATATTTCGTAAAGGGGTGTAAAACTTGTATACATTTCAGTGCAGGGAGGTGAAGGACACAGACACAAACACACACGCACACACGAGACGGGGATCCAAATGTGAAATAAGTGAGGCAAGACACAAAAAGAAATCAAAAGAATAAATATAAAGAAGAAATTGAATTACTGAAGACATGCACCTCGATTTTACGGCCCTCTACCACGGTGCCGTGTAATTTCTCCCTGGCCCTGTCTGCATCAGCACTATTCTCGAAAGTTACGAACCCGAATCCCTGCATGCAGCGGGAGAAGGGGGGAAAACATGCACATCGTTATATATTGAAATACTGATCTCTAGGTAAATAGAGAAAAAATATCACAGTATGAAATCGACATCAGCACAACTCAGCAATAACCTCCTAGAGTCACATTGTTGGTTCATGCATGTTTCATAAATGAAAGAAATTAAAATTCAATAAAACAAAAGGAACTGTAATCATAATAAGAATAATAAGAGTAATTAAAAAAAGAAAACATAAAAGCAATTGAGGCCAGACCAAAAAAGAAGTACCAAGTTACTCGAGACAATTTGTTTTGTTTTAAGGTGGTTTTTTTTGTTGCTGTTTTTGTTTTTCTGGTTTTTTTTTTGTTTTTTTCTTGTCAAAGAACTGGCATAGGCAGCGAGTTAGGTCCTGTCCCTGACAGCAAACACACGCAGTGCTGAGCCCGCTGCCTGCCCCGGGCACAGGACAGGACAGCACAGCACTTTGATCTCTTGAACATTCACTGCCATCTGAGTTCCTGGCATCGGGAATTCTGTGAAGCTTTGGGCAATTCAAACACTGAACTTTGCTTTTCCCACCTGTAAAATGGACACATTAATAATCACCTACCTTGGAGAACGGCTGAGAGGAAGGACTGTTTGTAAAGCATCCCTTGCAAGCTCTTCAGGGCACAGCTCACGTCTACTTCTACGCCTATGACTTCCCTAATAATGCATGGGGCCCTGAGAGAAAGGAGGGCTTCCAGGTAGCATCAGGAGAAGAACATCACTCAACGTAATGATTTAGAGCAATTAACGTGGTTCTTGTTTCCATACTTTCCTACCTGTGCCATGTTGGACCTGCTGAAAACCTCAACAGAGACCTATTGGTAAAAAGAGGGTTTTTCTGGCTCTTCTGGCCTACTGTTCCCTCCTTCAGGGACTGCCACCCCTCTTACTTCGCTTTGTTCTAAGATGGCAACCTCCGTTCCATGGGTGGTGATCTCTACCTAGACACATTACAAAGCTCATAGCAACAAGCTCAGGGATGTACCAATGATTTAGATTCACCTAGTCTAGTAGGACACATGCAATGCTTCTGTCCTACACGCTCACATGGCCATCAACTCAAGCGGTTGGGTACAAGGGCAGTGGAAAACATGCTCACTTCCACGGAGGTGAGTGCTCTGACAGTCAAGCAGATCTATGACTAAGGGGATTAGGAATTTAGCTTGTAGGAAATGGTGCCCTACCACAGACAATTAGGAGGAGATAATTTTCATGCCATTGCAGAGAGCAGGGCCAAGCTGAAAACTTGCCTGCGTTTTGCTTTCAGGGTACCTGAAGAACAGGAGGAGAAATGGCTTCTATGGCTTATTATACAGCAAATCCCAGTTTAACACAAAAGCAGGAAGACCAAAGTCTGCATCCAACGCAATGGAAACTCCTGATAGTAAGCAGAGCAGTGGTTAAGCTGATCAATTGCAAGCTATGCCTTGTCAGGGAAATGGCACGCTAGCCTGGCAGCCTCTCCATGAAGTTCAGGGTCGGGATACGTGGATACTCAGAAAATACCATCTTGACTTCTAGGTACTGTTAGCAACAAGACACAAGCAAGCCATCACTCTGAGTGGTTTTTAAAGAGCTGCACCACACTAGTCTTAAGAAGCCACCTTGCACATGCTGCCCTTTATCATCCACAGCTAGGCTTCCAGCACAAAACTGTTACATGTTTGTAAAATGGGATGTAGCCTTTTTTTTTTTTTCTTTTTCCTCTCTCAGGAACAGCAGTAATAAAAACAAACAAACAAAAAAACCCAAACTTGGATATCCCAATAACGTCACACCGAAACCAATAAGAGCTCTCCCTTTTGGGTGCCAAGTCTCTAATCTAAAACTTCAGATAATTTCTTTTCTCCACTTGAAGGAAATAAATGGCTATACAATAACAAACTGTTGCTTTTTTCAGAACAACCAATGCTTTCAGTTGCAATGAATTAAAATCAGAGCTACAAGAGATCAGGGCCAATAAATCAGTCCAACCACACGCAACTCTGTAAGAGACTGCAGGGAACTGGGGGGTGGTATAATAACAAAGCTGATTATGAAGGGACAGTGTATTGTATCTGCTTCAAAGAACCCTTACAGAGAAAGGGGAGACTGAGAAATAGAGTAACATGTTTCCCTCTGTTCGACATAATGGGGGAAAAAGCACCTTTAAAAAGGTCTGAGGAGGAGGGGAGGAAAAGACTGCGACAGCAATCTCTATTTCCCTTCTTCTCTTTTGACATGAAAATTTTTGTTTGTTCTAGAAAATCCTGCAGAGCCTGAGCACGATTTATGTCTTCTGTGATTCTGTGCACTGAAAGCTGGAGAACAGAGGGAAGGTAATTTTTTAGACATTAGCCTGTGCAGACTAGAACCAAATTAAGACCATTTAAATTCACATTTATTCTCAATTAATGAAGTCTGTAAGGGACTTCAAAACATTACCATCAAATACATTTAAAGTGACTTGGAATTTTCAGTATTTTTAGTAAGTTAAATCAAGGTAGGGTGCAATCCACATGCAGACTAGATAGGAATAATTAACAACGTGAATTAAAACAGAGTTGATTTGATTCTGAACAACATACCTAATTAACTAGATTTTTTATTATTCACAGATCAATCTCAGCTTATGCAACTCTTTGTTGAAAACCATTTAACATCAATGCTGAATTAACACTTTACATAGTTGACTATGATAGAGTCAATATTTGTGCCCGCTTGGTTAGTCTTCTTAATGCAACTCTTAAGACATTCAAATTTTCATCAGGAAAAATAAGTGAGCCATGCTTGACATTTCTATTATTTCCAGGTTTGAAAATCAGCACTTAAATACACATTTTTGATGCGGGGAAGAAAAATTATACATGTATTTTAAATTCCTTCTTACAGATGACCTGCAAAGAATAGGGATTAATTTGTACCTAGAAACATATACAACAAAGCATTCTCAGTTTTCCCTCCCAAGGTTGTCTTAACCACAAAGAAAAAAACAAGAACAGGAGGCAGATGACCAATGTCTGCTAGCACAGATCTATAGCAGGTACTGGTTTGCCCCACGGTACTATGCATGCAGCCAGAGGAAGGGAAGATGCAATCCTGGGTTAAAAAAAAAAAAAAAAAAGATGACTTAAAGTATCTAGATAGAATTTATACAAATACCTCGAGTTTAATAAAGCTGTTAGAATAATAAGGTTGATTTTTTCAACATTTCCCCTCCACCAACAAATGCCGGGAACTTTTCCCAAGCAGAAAATAAACGTAAGCCTCAATGCACCCAGCGGGCACTGAATAACCCCAGCAAACATTTTCAGAACTTCTGAGCAATTTGCAGGGCCAGCCTAAGCCCCCTTTTACCCAAAGGTTTATTCAAAGGGCCTGAAGAGACCGAGTAACTGTCACCCTTTTAGTCTGGCCTCAGACTCTGCAATAAATAACAAGCAACATGATGAGCAGTGTCAAAATAAATAAATAAATAAATGTATAGAGAGAGTATTTGAACGTTTCCATCTCTGAAGAATGAGAAAGAAAATTTACCATGTAACCGTAAAGGGAGAAATCAAAAGCAGACGGTTCTCCTGGGTGTGGCCAGAACACAGAAATTAAACAAAAACAAAAAAGAACAACAAAAAAGGAAAAAACAAAAAATAAAAAAAAATAAAAAAACAAAAATAAAAACAAAGGAAACTAAACAGAGCCCCTTGAAATCCATGCATTGTTAACCCTTCATTTGTCATGGAGTTTAGACAGTCACCTCAGCAGCAGAGTCTTTGCCTTGTACCCCCACAGAGCACGCAGCCAGCAATGGGCTTTGCCTTCCTCTACTGCTGTGCTTGTTTTTGAACAGATTATATATTCCCCCTTCCCCACATATGTAAACCAACTTTTGGGAGCCTGCAGAAATGGCCAAGGGACATAAGTTTAGGCTACCTGTTTCCAAGGCATTTGAGAGCGGAGGAGGGTTTCAGTGTAATCCACCTGAGATGAGCAGGACTGGGATGCACCAACGGGAGCACAGCCCACAATTCAGAAGCACACCTTACCTGAGTTACATGCACACGCTTCAAACTGGTGAGAGAACCAGTGTAAACCAAAGCTGCCATCACTTCAGCAGCCCTTCCAGTTACCCATATGACTCCTGAGCGTGTCTTGAAATTAAAGGCCCTGACCATCGACTTGCGCTACCTAGTGAACCAGATGCAGGAATGTATCTAGCTAAAAACAAGAGAAATGAGAGCTTATCTTCTGCTGGCTTAATATCAAACTCTCCCTCTCTCAGATCATTTTTTTATTATCGTTTTTAAATCCATTCCCCCTCATCTTGGCTAATTTAGCAACTCCCTGCCCAATGAAATGAGCACCACCACGAAGGTGCTCTGTCCCATAGGGGCTTTGTGATATCAGGCCATCAACTTCAACCTTAATTACTCAGATTGAAGTAAACCAGTTCACAGGGTGTGGACCAATTTTAATTCGCTTGTTTATGATCAAGGAGTTGAAGGTAGCCATGGCATTACACTGTAATTGAGCAAACTGAGACTAAGGGACAAAGGTCACATCTCTCTTCAAGCCACCAGTATTATAAATTTGTTGACCTAAGAAAGTGACACTGGCTGGCACCTTGTATTTAAATCTCTGTGTTAGTAACATCTGAATTTCTAGCTCAACTGATGACATCTGAACAAAAATTATAAAAATAGAATTAGAATGAAAACTGTTACCTCTGTAACAAGAGAGTGTATCTATTTCCTTGGGCGGGAACTAGGTCCAGAATTGCAGCAGCTAACTCAAACTATCTACTCCACTCGAAGAAATAAACATGCATGCAAGCATACAATCTTTTAGGCAGAGTTATTAGAACCTAAATATCCTTATCTTAGCCTGCAGTTAACAGCAAGCAAGATTTATGTGTTTCCATACAGCTTTCTATACGATTTTCTAGTTAGTACAGATGTATTTAAGGATTTTCACCCACTAAACACGTGCATTCCCCTTGTGAAGACCAGATGCAAGCAACTATACACACAATTATTGAAGAAGATACTGCACTTTGACACTTGACTCCTAAACAAGAATTCAGAGACCACTCTCCTTTTTTATCGACTTGGGCTTTCTAACTGGAAGGTAACCCTGAAATCTAGGCTTTCAGTCTGCACTAACACGACTCTTACCACACAGAAACCCAAAACATGCCCCTTCTTCAGCCAAGGTTTTGTTGTGTGCTTACGTGCTCTTGGTATCTGAATGCCATTGAGGCCACATCTCAGATTGCCACCCGGCAGACAGCATGGAGTAGAGAGCTGGGATTCCCCTCCCCTGCAGCTTTATGAATGTCATGGGCTTCTCATTTCAAGTGCTGCTAGGGCAGAATGCATTAATTCTGTAAATATGTCCATTTGTTCAGTTCAGCACAGCAGTGCCAAAATATGCATCTACAGCGCAGCTCCACAACCAGAGGTGTGGGAATCCCATCTCTCAGCTTCCTCTGGAGGTGTTTTACTCATGGTTCAGTGAAGCGCATGGCGAATTGCAACCATGAGCAGAATGCTATTTCTAGGCATTTATTTATATGGGTCAGAACTAGAATTGTAAAGGCACACAGTACAACTGGAGCAAACTGATAGCTTCCCGAAAGCAAGCAAAAAGTAATAAATAAATTGAGGGAAGACTAATGTCATCCTGTCATACAATCTAAAGAAAGAACTAAATGAAATTCAACAGATGTTTCGAGTTTGTATCTTGTTTCCAATGTAGCTAAACAGCATTGGTGTGAAGTCTACCCACATAATCCTACTAAATAGATTGAATCCAGGCAGAAATCGAGTTAGGGAACAATCATTCACATTGCTTTCAGAGAAGAATCAGCAAAACTAATTATTAGCTGCCTCCTAGACTGCCGTGATACGGAAAGACAACAAATAACACTTCCTAAGCCAAGCACAAGAACCTGAGGCATGAGGTGGCTGTGACGTGCACGCACTGCTCTTACAAACTTCTTAAATGCAGAGACCCCGAACACACAGTCTGTCTGGTATGGTTCCCTCAGGCACACCACTACGGCTGTGGAAGAACACTGCCTGGTCATCTCAGATGGATTCAAAAGGCAGATTACCAACTGCAGCTCTCCTCCATGCGGGCCCTCCTGCCCGCCATCACTGGAACAGGCCCTGGGACAAAGAGCTGTTCGGGGCCATCGTAGCCTGGGTGGGCAGTTTGGGATTCACTTGTACCTTTTAAATATTGACAAAAGATAGACACAAAACTCTACACCCTTAGGAACCCAGGGAAGGGGAGGGAGCATTGAGAACACAGCACAAGGCAGGCAGCAGGAGCATCTGCTTTCGGATTCCCAAAAGAGAGGAGGAGGAGAAGAAGAGAGAGGTTTCATATCATTAGATTAGAATGGAAACCACAGGGCAGGAAAATGCATTCAGATTTTTTTTTTCCTAAGGTGGAGGAAGAACCCAAGAGTGAGTGAGCGGCCTCCAGAAAGATCCGTTTCCTTTGCTTCACCATCAGATCACCAGACTGTTGCTTTTCCATTATTATGTGAATACCAGGTGCTTCGTGCAGCTACACCCCACTCAAACACTGGGGCCTCCCATTTTCATGCTAAGCAGGAATAATCTCACATTCTTTTAAAACACCGATTATTTTAGGTTGAGAAGGATGCAGGGGTACCACAAAATTATTCGTTCAGTGTTTACACATTCTGTTCAGATTCTGCCCCATCCCTCACATTAGCTATCAGCTTTGCAACTGCTTTTTGCTGTAAGATGACCAAAAAAAGCAGTAGGAAACTGCATGGTCATGGACTGGAAGAACATCTCTTCGGATCGCTTTATTTTTTCGTATGTTTATTAAGGGTTTGGAATAAAATTGGTCAAGGAACTCTTCAGCTACTATTTTTGTTTTAACTGAAAACCAGAAGCCTTGATCTGTAACAACTGCAGAAGAAAATATCTTTCATAACGATAAATCAAGTCTTCACAGAAAGTCTCCAATGTTAGTGTTGCCTAGAAGGAAAAGGGCAGCAGTGGGTGTTTATATAGGGCTGTATGGATGGCAAAGCAAGAGTGAAGTTCACGTGCAGAGAAGAAAACATTGTGCTGGAAAGCACAGGCAGACGAAGATGAGGGATAGAGCTCAGCACTTTGTCAGGCCAGTTATTTTTGTTCTTTCTTTTGCACTTACGTCCAAAAAAAATAGGGATTTTGATAGAGGCCAGAGGCTATTCCCAAAGCCAAACAGAAATGACCAAAATTGAGACTAACTCGCAGACAGCTCTGGCCTATAAATATCAGAAGAACAGCAGAGAGCAGAATAAATATTTACAAACTCAGCATAGCTGATTGTTTTGGTAAAGCATATAGATTTTTATCCCCAGAGGGATAAAGCTCTCTAAGTAAGCCATAAAGGCATTTACTCTTGCAGACTGCTTTATTAAAACAACAAAAAGAAATAAGAAATACCATGTTTGGTGGTGGGGTTTTAAGCACAAACTAAGCGTGGAAAGGGAAAGAGCCGAATCTCATTTGCTTTGTAGGCAGATCAACTGCTTTCTGGTTTCCAGATATCACAGAGACTGAAGAATTTCAGAATGCATCTTGGGGAACACGGGTTGAATTTGCAGAGGGCTCTGAACATGAACAGACCCCAGAAGATACGTTAAAGCAAAGAGGCCACGTTCAGATAGTGAACCTCAAATCCAGGAGACAGACATACAAGCTCTAAACTGAAACTGCTTAGCTGAATTGCAACTTCAAAATCTCTTGTGTGCATGCACACATGTGCACACACGTGTACGTGGGGAGTAGGGAAGTTTTGTTTTAATTGAAAATGGGAATCTTAGCATTGATTAAGTCAAGCAGAGTATAGACATGCACTGTGCAAGCTTCCCCCATAGAGCTTTGGCAATGCACCTTGCTCCTGACCTGCAAAATTCCCTGCTATTCCAGTGCTGAACCTCCTGGGCAGAGAGAGAATCACATCAATTTGTCATTGTGGTGACACTGGTTACATGATGAGAACCAACTGCCAATTAGGACAAAGATCACTGAATCTCTCTGCAACTGACCTGAGCAACATCTGAAATTTCATTTTGAAAGAAATAAATTACTACTGGCTCTCAACAAAACCTCCCTTTTAATACATTTTAAGAATGAAGATAGGTGTTCAAGTGCAAATTCAATAGGGAGAGTTCCACAGGGGCAGGGCAAGGGGAGTTGGGATGCTTTTATTAAGTATCAAATATCTCAAATGTGAAAGGTCAGCTTCTCAGAAATATGAGCCAGTCTACAAAAGAGAATAAGCAAGATCCTTCCACATGTTAGATATTACACTTATTCTAGGGGAATATTTTAATGCAATGAAGATGTGGTTTCGGGTGGGGGGGGGGTGGGCGGTCAGCCTTTGTTTCTTTATTATTATTATTTTATAAATATATATATATATTTTTTTTTTTCTTTACCAGCTCCCTTCATGTGACACTGATTTAATTTACTCTGCCTTCCCCACAGGGCACCCATTGCCAGGGCAATGAGAAGGGGTTGTTATGAAGGCTCAAGTGACTCCCTGTTTGTTCGAAAGATTGGGAACCCGATCCCTTATTACAGATGGGAGCATCCAGGAGCATTCATACATGCTGCCCAGAAATGACCATGCTCAGAGTCTGGAGTCAGAGGGAACAGGAGACAGTCCCCAGGATAGCTTTTCCCTTCCCCCATCACACTAATTCCTGGTGATCCCTACACAGTATATTCTCTAGGCAACGAACTGCCTTTTACTCTGTGCAATCAAAATGTGAGAAGCGAGTACAGAAACAGGACTTACCTTGGAGCCGCGCTCATTAAAGATTATCTCTACATCAAGGATTTTGCCAAATTGCTGCAAAGAGACAAGGGGAAAAGAAAGATTTATTTTTGTCAATCCATTTCAGGTAATTTTTTGGGGCTGGCTAAACATAAGAAGGGAGGTGAGAATATTTCCATTCCTAGCATATATACATATACACATATACAAATTGCAGTGATGTGACTCAATTCTTCCAGCTTATGACACGCAGATCCTCTTGGCCACAGACACAAGTTTTTTTTCCTCACAAAAGCCTGAAGAAAGATCTCCAGAAGAGTTTTAGGGATTCCAGCTGGTCCCTGCACAGACCAAAACTGAGGAAAACAAGAACTACAAGTTAAAAAGGCTTCCGCACTGTGAAACCATATACTGATCACATCCTTTAGCTGGGAACACATTTTAGTGCTGCTATTGAACTGGTTACATTCAAACCAGTTATCTGTTTGTAAGGCATTACTACTTCAACAGAGCCCCACAATACTCCACTAGAAATGCTGTATTTCCAAAAGTTTGTTCTCCAGAAAGACAGGTCCAAGATCTCATTCTCAGGAACACACATATGGAAGAGTCATAATTGGTTTGAAAGCAATGTATGTCCCTAGAATTTAAGCATTTTTCCTATCCTGTTCTTTACAAAAGCTTTCAACATCACAGTTTTCCATCTCATCACCTGCAGAAGTTTTAAAGGGTGTAGGAAATGAAAGAACAGACAACAAAAGAAGAAAGGATGGTTCTACAGTTAGGAAAGATGAGGAGCACCACCTCTAGGGACCAGCATCCTTCTGTTTTCTCACCATGCAAAGTGATATTTGTCAATTTTTTTTTTTAATCAACATTTCCATATCGAGTCAAGTGGGTATAATGCCTATTTTCTGAGTGCCCTGCTTGAAAGATTTGTGTCCAGATTTGCAGACGTGGAACATTTGCAACAGTAAGCCATGATGACTAAAGAGAAGCTTTGGATATGTAAAGCAGTAAAAAGCTATTAAGTCCCTTCAATCGTCTTTATGCAAATGAAACTCTTCCAACAATTTTAGCTATAGTTTCTGTCTGCTTCCATCTTCCATTCTTAAAAGGAGATAGTTGTATTCTTTTTACAAATGCTGGATCACAGATGTTGTTTTTACTGTTCTATTGTGTAAGGACAATACTTGATCTTCTATTCATCTCCAGAACAATTGAATGCATAATATCTTACGTTACACAAAGTTTGAATAATGTTAATGTAAACGTGAGCAGCGACTGCATCTTCCTTTAAGCCTCAACATCTCAACAGCTAGGCTTGATCCATGCTGGATCCTCTTTTGACCACTGCTGTGCCAATCACAGCTAAAATACATTTTCTATTTCTATCCCATGCTTGGTGTGGGCTTGTCTATAAAGGAGATTAGCCATTGATTGCTTTTTGTTGTCTTTGTTACTTGGGCACTGCCATGAAAGAAATCAGTCACGACTGCTTTCCTGATAAACTACAAGTGTTTCAGAGCAGTTACAAGACAGGCTGAACCAATCTGACAGCTTACAGCTGCCAAAGGGCTGCTCCCGTTCCTTCATCCTTCCTGCCTTCCTCTTTCCACCTTCCTGCCTGGGCTCACCAGCTTCCAAGAGCTGGCCCTAGTTCTCATTTTCACTCGTATATCAACTGATACAGCCCACCAATTCCACGAAAGAGTAGCCCAACAAATGGAATGAGTAACACATTTTTTGATGGTTTACTGGTCAGAACTGGTTCTAAGGGTCATGGGAGTGTAAAGGCTTTGAGAAACAGCAGAGGATGGAAAGCTGAATGCTCAGGCCAAGAGTGGAATCCATCCCTACCACATCAGCTCAGCTGTCTAGCCTTGCCATTGAAACAGCCGGGCTCTTGATAAACACAAATGCCAAAATTATTTTCAGAAACTTCAGAGCCATCAAAAATCACCAGTTTCTTCTTCATTAGAGTTGTCTTAAAAGAGAACAAACTGTGCAGCTTCTGGTGCACAATTATGCTTTGCCATCTTCCCCTTTCTCCACACCCAGCTGGGCCTGGATACTTGGGTATTGCTGCCAGAGCTGCTTGCCAGCCCCAATCGGCCAAACTCACTGCTCAGAGTTTCCACACCAACAGGAAACCTTGTCTTGTGCATTTAATTCCTAAGGGCTGGCAAAAAGCTGGAGGTAACGCTGAATGTAAGCGAAGCCTACAGCGGGCTGTGGCCACCTCACCGCTTTACCATGTCAGTTGTGTTTGATGAAGCAAGAGGGAAGAAACTAGGACATCAGCAGCTAACTGCTGAGGCCTGCTGGAGAGGTTTCGTGCTCTGTGAGATTCCTTGGAAGAAAGCAGGGAGGCTGTGAGGTGGCAGGACGTGTGCTGGGCTATCCAAGACTCTGCTGCAGCTGTTGCCACAGCTGCTCTGGCAGCTCTTGTCCTTACTGCTGCAACGGTTACAGCAGGTCCAGGACTGGAGGCTTTCATTTTTTGGTTGTGTGCCAGAATTTTCCTGGAGAATGAAAGCAGGAAAAAAGAACTAGTTCATTTTAACAGTTTATATCTCCTTCAAAGCTGAATCTAATTTAGTGGAACATAAAAAGGCACTTTGTTCTCTGATGGTGCTTCCCCTACCAATGTCAACAACCTACTGCAAACAATGGAAGTTTTAAGAGCTCCTTTGCAAAAGGTTACAAATTCTGTACAGATAAGCCAGACCATCTAAAAACAACGATCAACACCAAATGCCCCCGTATTAATTTTTTAAAATCATGCATACAGGCATGTTTGTGTTTTACAGCAGACAGTGGCTCTAGCCAAATAAAACAAGACCCGGGCTTATGTCATCCATGATGGGGACTAACCCTCTAATCTGACCTTGAAGGCATGAATCACTGTGCTCACAGACCTGATTCTTTCGCTCAATTATTACCATGAATGTCTATTTACAACCCAGCAGAACAGCAGTGGAAACAAAATTCTGAGCCTCTAAAGAAAGCATAATAGAACTACACATCTCAAACATCATTCTTCATCATGACTTCAACAGCTTATTATGTGACTGAGAGACCAGCACATCACCCTGCTACACATCAGGTCACAAGAAGCCTTCTCCATGAACTGGCTGTGTGTGAGATATATAAGCACATATCTCAACCATATGTCAGGTATGCATATATGTACACACACGCTTTCAATCATGCTATGGCATATGACTCTCAGAATCTTGTTGTGTCTTAGTCCTCCACACCCTGAAGTGATCTTGCACATGTGTTCAGTTGTTTTTCAGGAAAGCAGATAAATTAGAATAATCTTTTCTACAGTGGCAGCAAGAGCTGTTGGAGATTACAGTTTTAAGGGGTATTAACAGACAACAGCTATGAACAGAAACCAATTTTCTTGCTTGAAGTTGATGCACCTCATAAAGGGCATTGTGAAAGGAGGAGCATGCACGCTGTGTGTGCTTCTTTCTACCCAGATGACATGAAGGCAGCAGATTTTTCCAGCAGAGGCCATAACTACATTACATATAATAAATTTGAGAGATCTGGCACCAGAGAGCTTTTGCCTTCCAAGGCACTGACAGTTTGGTAGGGCCCCTCCTGCGGGCTCTGTTCCAGCTGGCCCTACCTCCTCTGCCTGTCTAGAGCTTTCAGAAACCAGCTCCAAAATGTGCCAGACAAATAACTTAACCCTATAGAAGCCAGCAAGAGGGATTATAAGGTGAATTCTCTGGAAGTTATGGAACAATCAAAAGGTAACATAAGCCACTATGTGACAACCTCCAACTGCTACAACAGATTCTTCTATGCCCAAGCAGCTATGTAATTCACTGAGAGATGAGTGCAGTAAAGTACCTAAACCCAGAAGATACCCAACAGTCCATTTTCAGTGAAGGTCTAAATTTCACTACAAGTTCAACATCACCAAGAAACCAATTACTTATGTAGGAAATAATTTCAGGTCCTCAAGCCTGAGGTGCACAAGCAAGAGCATTTTGTTTGCAGGAGGGGTCCCTGCTGCAGTGAGTGCCCTTGCCCCAGCTCCCCACTTGATGGGATGTCTTTCAGCTGAGAGCATCTCTGTCTGGAACTGCACCCACAGAAGCAGCAGAGACCCGAAGATGGGTTTGAGAGGACTCATCAAAACCCTTATTTGACAGTCCAATAGCCCATGACAGCTGCTGTGGCACACATATTTCTGTAGAGGAGCACTGTGGTCCCTGGTGTGGCCATTCAGACAGAGCATGATGCTCAAGCAGTGCTGAGAGCACCACCATTCAGTCACAGAAGGTGACTCCAGGAACTGCACTGGTGAAACATCAGGATAAACAGCCTTTCTAACACTACTCAGATTAATCAGCAGAAGCAAAGGCCTGCTGCTGTCTTACTGCAGGAAGACCTAGGAGACAAGAGTTGTCATAAAGAGGTTTCTTCATGTCAGAACTCCTGTTCTGCAGTGCTGTCATACAGGACTCAATTACATGTAATCAGGAGTCAGTACTAGACAGAGACTAAAGAAGCTGAAATCCATCTCAACACCCAAAGGATAGATTTTCTCCTTTGAATGTTCAATTTAACCAAAAAGCAGCAACCCTTTCCAGATCTTTTCTATTATTCTTGCTCCATCGTATTATTTGCCTACCTTAATACCTAGTGAGTAGTTTTCTGACACTGTCAATAGTTGTGTACCATGAATTACTTGTGGATTCAAATCCATTTACTGGCAGAAAGACCCACAGTCAACTTTTCAGCCTGAAAGCGTAGGCTCATAGAGGTGTTTTGCACTCTTGACACCAGAAGAAAGTTGGATGAGAAATTATACCCATTGATATATTTTAGGAAATGCAGAGGGCCAAGAAGCCGAGACTTTCAGGTTGCAAAACCTTCCAAGAATATCCATTACAGAGCTCTCAGAGTTGAGTTTTTTGGATTACATAAAGCTCCCTTTGTCACCTGTGCTGGGCTGATGAGGTTTCCCCAACAGAAGCAATTAACAACCTACAGGTAGAAGCTATGACATAAGGTAGACAAGATGTTGTACTAAAAAGAAAAAAGCAATG